GTGATTAATAAATTGAATGTTAATATTTATTTTTTAATATAAATTTAAAATAAAAAATATATTTATTACATTTTAAAGATAAAAAAAAAATGTTATCTAAATTTACGTGTACGACTCATTTTTATACGTCATTAAGTATGTAAACACTTTTACTTAGTTGACAATTAAAAATGGAGAAAAGTAGTTATGATTAAACAGAACAACGGGAGAGAAACCGAAGAGGAAAGCAAAATAAAAAAACAGTCGAAAGCCGAGGTTATTACACCGCACGTACCTGGGCCAGCAGACACAAAAGTGATCCTCTAGTTACAACTCGACACGTGTTAACTGAAAGTTTGTCACTTTTAAGGTTATCCTTACGTCCAACAGGCAATATGAAGCCATAACCTGAACATAAGAATTCATAACCCCATCCATACAAACAAAGTTAAGAGTTCACGATGATTGTCCGATGTAGAACAATCAGATGGAGGAAGGCCGTCCATATATTAGACGACCCGTTGTTATTGTACTTTTTGTATGGTTTGGTATAATTTGAAAAACATAAAATATTTATGATTTGTATATTCATGTTTAATATTCCATATATACATATGTTTTGTATATGGTAGCATTTAAAAACCAATTTTCTGTTTCAGATATTATTTTTGTTTGTGGATTGTGATGATCATGGTTATGTATTTATTTGATGTGGTGAGATAACAAGATTAATAAAATTTTAATTTAGTACACACTATAGTAATGAAGCAATTTCTATTTATATTGACAGAAAACCTCTATGATTAATAGGCATCTCAACTATTTATGAGATGTTAAAGTATTATTAACTTGTTACATAAATATATATATATATATATATCATGAAAAAATCGTTTAGTGGAAACTCTACTTTATGAGTTTCTGTAATATCATTGACTCTTTATAATATTTATGTCACCCTTACTACATAAGAAACCCTCGGTGGGAGAGAGTGTATATAAGGTAAAAACCTGAACATTTACTATCTATGTGAAAAACTAAGCAAAAAATTCCCAGGAGTATTTACAGTAATTTACCAAAACTAAAAAAAAAAAGAAGAAAGAATAATATGGCTCAGCAACTTGTGTCAAGGGGTTAATTTCCATCTCTGATCTC